TCAAAAGGCACATGCATCACAGATTGGTTTAGATTTCTTTTTGTTTCAGGGTTTGCTCGCAATAAGGAGGAACAGCAAGAGAGACAAAGATTCAAGGTAAGGCAGCTTGCATGCTAGGCTTTTTCAAGTGTTGATTCAAAATTACAGATCTCTGAGCATTAAAATATTCAGTGTTTACTTCCCAGATGTAACACAAATCATTCTTCTTCAACCTTTCTCAGCCTGCTTAACCTACTGACCCAGTTGGCACCACCCCGACCTCCCTCTCATTCCCCTTCACTAGCAGCCTTGTCCATTTTCTGTATTTTCCCTGTACACTTTCAGCCTCTGCTCAGTTTTCTCTAGTCCTGTCCCTAGTTTAGGGTTATAATATTTCGAGTTCCAAAAAAGAGGACACCTGTCATATGGGGGAGGGGGTGGTATATAGTTTCATAGTTTCAGGGTCGGAAGGGACCTAATAGATCTTCTAGCCCGACCCCCCGCCAGGGCAGGAGAACAACCCAAAAAAAAAACAAAAAAAAACCACTCACCCTAAAAACAAAAACGGGACTCAAATGAGTCCAGCCAGGTAAGTATCCAGCCTCTTCTTAAAGATCCCCAGGGTAGGGGCCAGCACCACCTCCCTTGGAAGTTGGTTCCAGCTCCTAGCCGCCCTAACTGTGAGGGAGGCGATGATATGCCGATGCCCTGCCCATTCTGTTGCCCCTCACTCCCAACCCACAGACCCCAGTCCTGCTAGTGCCCCTCACTCCCAGACCACAGTACCCTGCCCCCTTGGGCCATGCTGGTGCCCCTCACTTCCGATCCCCAACCCTCTGGCACTGCCAGTGCCCCATGCCCCCGGACCACAGCCTCCCTGCCTCCCCCCGCAATGCCTCTCACTCCTGACCCGTAGCCCCCTGCTCCTCCCAGCACTGTCCCCAGTGTTGTCAGGCCAGCCACGCAGCTCCATGTTGCCCCTGAAGGGCCTCCCTACCCCCTTACCCTGCTGGAGGGGCAGGCGCCTTGTCTGCCCTGCTGCAGCCCCAGACGCGCCGCCCCACACACAACCCCCACATCCCACAGGCTTACTTACATCCAGCTGCCTGGCTGCTCCCACCTTGTCTGGCTACATGTTGGCCCCATGTGTGCACCCTGTCTCCCATCACCCTGCCCTCAGCCCCAAGCATCTCCTTTCTAGGGCAAGCTGGGAAGTGCCAGTAAAAACTTTGAAGCAGGGCTGACCAAAACCCCGGACTGAGATGGGAGGTTCTAAAAAGAGGACATATCTGTGAAAACCTAGATATATGGTAACCCTACCTAATCTGGACATCAACTTCCTCTAGCCGATGCTGCCGCTAGTAAAGTGAGCAAAACGCTGGCTTGCATCCATAGATGCTTCTCAAGCAAATCCCAGGACATCATTCTCCCCTTGTACTCGGCCTTGGTGAGGCCGCAGCTGGAGTACTGCGTCCAGTTTTGGGCCCCAAAAAGGATGTGGAGAAGCTTGAGAGAGTGCAGAGGAGAGCCACATGCATGATCAGAGGTCAGGAAAACAGACCTTACAATGACAGGCTGAGAGCTATGGGGCTCTTTAGCCTGGAAAAGCGCAGGCTCAGGGGTGATCTGATGGCCACCTATAAGCTTATCAGGGGTGACCACCAGTATCTGGGGGAACGTTTGTTCATCAGAGCGCCCCAAGGGATGACAAGGTCGAACGGTTATAAACTACTGCAAGACCGTTTCAGGCTGGACATAAGGAAAAATTTCTTTACTGTCCGAGCCCCCAAGGTCTGGAATAGTCTGCCATCGGAGGTGGTTCAAGCACCTACATTGAACACCTACAAGAGAAAACTGGATGCTTATCTTGCTGGGATCCTATGACCCCAGCTAACTTCCTGTCCCTTGGGAAGGGGGCTGGACTCAATGATCTTCCCAGGTCCCTTCGAGCCCTAATGTCTATGAAATCTCTCTAAACTGCAGCCCTCTTTCCCCCACTGCTCTATTCTAGCATCACTCCACTCCAAGCATTATATAATGGTTTCCTCAAACCACTTCAGCAACCTTTCATCCTCCCACCACCTTCCTCCTCAGCCTACACGTTTTTGCAAAGGGGATGTGGGGGAGAGAGGGGAGTTAATGAAAAAATTAAAAAGCTGTTCTGTCTCTAAGTCCAGCACTTACACGTGTTTTGGGAGGCGGGAAGAATGAATACATGCAGATTAACAGATCGTTTTGGATTCTTTCATTTCAGTACCTTACTCCACAGTACATAGGAACAGCAATAGAGACAACAGGTCAAGGTAAGACAGGTCTGGGATTTTGTACGAGTCAGATAAAAAGTGTAGGGATACTTTGAACCTGATCCATGGTGCCTTTTGATAAAAATTGGGTGTGGAATTTCCAGGTGTATATAAAATGTAGTGATAATAAATGGCTTTTCTTACATGTGCCATCAAGGTAATGTATGAGTATATGCACTTGTATCTAGAGTACATAAGAACACAAAAGCTTGCTTTGAATTTTTAGCTGGATACTTGTTCTTGAGTAACTTTTATGTTCATATCGCCTTTCACTAATTATGATCAAATTACTGATCTTTTAACCCTCCTCATAACAAATGTGCATCTTTTTTCTAACAGTACTTACATGGCTTGACTATGCACCCCAAACTTTAAATGCCTGATGTTGTTTGTGCACAATGTGTACTGAGGTGGAAAAGAATAGGCAAGGAAATAAAATGTATCTTTATTTTTCTCGAAGATTTTTCAAATGGGGTTGTTTTCATTGTGAGCCATGCTTTTGGGATTAGAGCAGCCAAATAGGGAGTGAGATGTTATTAGCTAAACTTGAAAAATCTACACCCCCATTCGGGGAGGATGATTGGGAAAGTAAAGTATTCTCAACTTCTGCAGCATCTAAGTCTCACACTTTTTAAAGTGCTTTTCTATACTTGGGCCTGTGATAAAACATTCTGAATACAAATCAGGGTTGAACTAATGTGGTTCTACACCAAGGCAGAACCTACCTACCAAGGCTCCACAGGTTTTGTACTCTGCCTTACAAAGTATCTACCTACTTAGGTGCCCTCCATCATCACCATCTCTGAGTTGCCCCACTGTAGTATCTCATCTCCTTAATGTCTCAAAGGTGTGGCACACTAGATTAACTTCCCTGAAGGCAGTGGAAAGTCGGTGCAAGATTTTACTGGAACCATGCTTACCTGTTTTCCTGCACAGTTTGACAGGGATGGGGATCTGCTGGTATGTGTGCTTTTCTCTAAATAGTCTAGGCATAGCAAGCTGAGCTGTAAACTGCCTTCTAGCCCAGGCTTATCCAACATACGGCCCGCAGGCCGCCATGCGGCCCTTCAAGCCATTTTCTGAGGCTGGAGGTGCTGCAACAGGAAACAAAAGTAAATATTGTAATTTTGTTTCGGGGGGGGTGATGTGATACTGCTTCCTGTGAGGTCTTTGAATATGGCTCACCGGCCCACTGGGTGATAAAAAGATCTGGCACATTCAAAAAGGTTGGACACCCCTGTTTTAGCCTGACATGAGAGCTACAGTATGTTTAAAAAATGGTTACAGACTATGGCAGATCTTTGACATCAATTAATTCTTTCTTGCTTACTATGCATGTAAAGCAAATTTGTTGTATCGTAATACTTACCTTCTCCACCTGCTTCAGCTATTGCCTTGCTGAGTCTCCTCCAGCATATGAAATAATTATTCAGTGCTAGAAGATCTGGTTTGCCTTCAGTAAAAGCTGCTATTTTTCCTTGGGAGAGTGGGGTGGGAGGAAACAAAAATGGAAAACACAAGGACAAAGAAACAAAATACTTGTCAAAGTAGGAAAGTTTTTCCCTTCCCTTAGTTCTTTTAAATGACGGGAAGGTTGATATGCAGTCATCAGGAATTGGAATAAATTTTTCTAGTGTAGAGATTGTGAGACATTCATCTGCGGTCAGTTTTAGGGTTGAGAGTGTTTGTTGTTGTGTCTTTTAATTGGAATATAATTCTTGACACAGTGTGAATATATGAAGGAGGAAGTCGGGGAATCTGCTGAAGATGAGGCGACTGAATCGGAAGAAGACCCTGAATTTGATGAAAGAGTTGGATGCTTTTCCAAAGGTTCCTGAGAGCTATGTACAGACTTCAGCTAGTGGAGGAACAGGTAGGCTTGATGGAGTCACTATTATGACAGATGGTCTGATGCACATGGGGGCTGCTGAATCTATTTATCATGTTCTGGTGATAAAAGCTGCTGGAGGAAGACGCAAACAAACTCTGTCTCCAGTTGTTGGAAAAAAAATTAAGCACAAGACAGGCACAATTAAAATGAGTTCTAGAGAGAATTGGGGATTATTTCCCTTCTCACAAGCACCCTTTCCAACACCTTCTAAAGGGAGAGCAACTTAAGTATGTCAGACCAGCATGGAAATAAACTGTTCCCCAAATCTGTCATATTTGGAGTCCTGCAAAGATTCACCTTTTTTTTTTTTTTAAACTCTTCTGTTGAAAAATCTTTGAGGCCTGTAAGTTAAATTCTTCAGCAACACATACTGAAATGCCAGTTATATGCAAATAATACCAAACTGACTTTCACATCAAATCCAAAAACATCCTCTTCCTTGCTATCCAAGGGCTTGGATGAGATCAGCAGCTGTCTGAAATTTAGGTTTGGACAGTGTGAGGATGAAGGAAGCTCTTTGAAAAATCTGATATTTGTGTAGTGACACCATTTGTCCAGTCTTGATGTTTACCTGGGCTCATCTCAAATACCTATAGCTGTAAGAAATGCTTTTTTTTCTATAAGTGTATAAAAACTGCAGCCAAGGTCTTCTGACAATTCAGCGGTGAAAGGGTTAAAATTGTAGCTCTTGTCTGAGTGAAAAGTGAGGGTGAGCTGAAGATTAGGCTCTGTCTCTGCTGTATGTGGCCATAACTTTTCAGAAAAAACTTAATGGAAAAATCTTTTTTTCTTCATTCTGCCTTCCCAAAAACAAAATGTGTTTTTTATTTGCGGGGCATGTGGTATATAAGAATACGGTATGTCATCATTCTCTGCCTTCCCAGTGTGACCTTCTAATGTTAAGGAACATTAACAAGAGTTTTTTATGTTCAAGATTTGAAATAACTTTTAAAATTGTATTGCCACTTCTCTCAGGATTGCATTTAAGGTTCAAAAGATTATTTTTTGGGCAAGGTAAGGAGGTAAAAGATGGCAAGTCCATGTTCTCAGATTCTCTTTTCTTTTGTGGTGGAGTTAGGTTGAGGAATCTTTTAAACAAACTAATCCCCTTCCCTTGTAGCATCTGCTCATGAGACTGTCAGAGCCTTCAGAAAAGAGGATCTAACTTCCTCCCCACTTTCACAGTCAACCTCACAAATATTTTGATTAAAAAACCCCATCAGTACTCTTGTTATTTTTTTGGTGGCATTTAGCAGACAATATCATCTTCCACCTTCATGTGCTCTGGTAGAGGAGGATCTTGGCCTCCAAAGATCCAAAAAGAATAACATAGTAATAAATGGCTATACATTGGTCTTCCTGCCTTGCTCAAAATAGCCCACAACTGTTTTTTCTTTTAAACAGTAATGCAAGGGCCACCTGTGGTTTGAAACTAGTTATGATTTAGGAAGTCGACCACAATTAGTGGCCTCTTGTCTGACCCTACAGGAAGCCCTGAGACAAGAGGCCTTTTTTTAAAATATAAAACAAAAAAATGTTCTGCGGTTATGCAGCCCTACAGTTAGATATTTTTATCTTCCAATAAAGGCAGGATTCTAATAAGAGGCGCACAGCATGTGCTTCTGTGTGACTCTCTACTGTGTCTCTATTTCCATGCACCACAGCATGTTTTTCTGTTTGCATGCACAATTTCACAGTCACAATGAGGTTGCTTTGAAGATATGCACTGCATGTCTTGGATGAGAAATAATCCATTAGTCTTTTCTTGCTCTCTAAGTGTATTCTTTGCATATGCAGCCGCAGATAAAGTGAGCTGATTTTTCTTGCCTCTAATTGTTAGAAAAATCCAGAGCTGGGAACTTTGCATGGCATTTTTATGCATAAGTGACTTAAGCAAGGCACCTCTTCTTCCTCAGTGGGCAATGTGCGTTTATTTCCCTTATTTGTTTTCTTGGCTTTATAACCAGAAGTGGAAATGTCTGATACAAAAACTCAGATCATACAGTGTGGAGCTCGAAGGGACCTCAGGAGGCACTTAGTTCATCCTCTTGCTCTGAAGAAGGGCTAAATATACCTAGACTGGGGCATCAAAGATGCGACCTGCAGAGCTCTTTCACTTGGGGCTTGGGGTTCCTGGAGGACAAGTGGGTGTAAGGTGAGTAGGGACAAGGCCTGCTGCTGAATTCTGGCATATGGAACCTTGCTGGGGATATGTTGGCAGTGGAAGGGCAAGTTAATCGCTGTGGCAGCAGTTGCTCACCCAGGAGACCAAGGGAGTTTGACATCCCCGACCTAGATCATCCCTGACTGATGTTGTCGATGGGGATTCCACCACCTCCCCAGGGAGCCTATTGCAGTGCTTGAGTATGCTTATGGTTAAGTTAGATCAGTGATTCTCAATGAGGGTCCCAACAGATCCTTTGAAGGGTGGAGTGAGGTGTGAAGAGATAAAATAGATGGCTCAGGCTTGTCCCTGCCTGGTCAGTCCCCCAAACCCCCACTGTCCAGCTCCTCTGCAAGGAGGTAAGCACTATAATATATAGCTTTTGAAATTGAGTGCCATGCAGCTCACAAAAGTTATGGAGGGGTGCTTGAAGTCCAGAAAGGTGGAGAACCACTGAAACAGATATTAAGAGCTTTATTTTTTATAAACTAGATTGGCCAAGAGCATTTATAAGCCCACATTTAACTGTTTTTAATTTGAAAAATATAGTGGCATAATGCTGCAAGCATCAAGGTTTACTTTTTTATTCAGACTACTTGTAATTAAAAGGATAGACTCTGTGTTTAACATGTGAGAGACCTGGGTTTGATTTCCATCCCTCTCCTCTTCCAAAGCCACTGTATCATTTTTCTAATGAATAAGGTACGTACCCTGTAGTTACAATATTCTAAAATAGGGTTGGCCAACCTGTGTCGTGTGCCACAAGTGGTACAGGCAGCTTTTGTGTGTGGCATGCAGCAGACCAGGGAGGAAGCAGAGCAGCAGATAGAGCAGGGTAAGGGGATCAGATTGGCACTTGGAAAGGGTGCATGGCTAATTTGTGGCAAACCTGTCAAAGGTTGGCCGTCATTGCTAAAACATCTCTATGAACTAGTTGGAGTTTTCTCACAAGACACATGTTGCAACGTCAAAAATATCTGAGGTCTTGGAACTTTCACCTTCACACTTCATGATCTTCCCGCATTAATGTAAAATCTGTAGAGTTAACGTGTTTTGAAGAAAACTAACTTTATGACTGTGGAGAAATCTTGGTCAAGACTTGACACAAGTAAATTCATTTATCTGTACAAAAGTGTTTTCCTTAAATGTGAAATTTAAATGTGAAATCCTTTGTATTGTGTTTTTTTTTGGTTTTGTTTTTTTGTTGGTAAATCCAGGCAGGATATAATAATTTCTCCCTAACCATTTTTTTTTTCTTTTTTGGTTTCTCAGTTTCCCTTATAGCATTTACAACTATGGCTTTCTTAACAATAATGGAGTTTATGGTGTATCGGGACACGTGGATGAAATATGAATATGAAGTAGACAAGGATTTTACTAGGTAAACTTTACCCCTCAGAATATCTTTGAATTCTAAGTTAAAGTTTGCCGTTTTGTGCACTGTTCAAAAAAGGAACAAATTCAAAATGTTCTTGCAACTTATAAGCAATTGCAGATTGTGATGCTACCTGAAATCATTGGGTAATTATTTTTTGTTTTGGTGATTAGTCTCCTGGGCACAGAATCTCTTAAAAAAAGAAACTTATCTGACTTCCATGCTCAGGAAAATTAACAGAATTTAGTGGCTGATAAATGCAGTGGCTCAGCTTCAAAAGGAATACTGGAGAGTGGCCTGCATAGTGCCTAACTGATGGCCTGTTTGCTAGGGCATTTTGCTGGGAAGACGAGAGTTACAGGTTCAAATGCCCTCTGGGCCGCACAGGGTCCTAGAATTTGCTTCCTAGGCAGATGCTTTAGTGGCTTAACTGTTGGAGCAAAAACATGGGAGGGCCCTCCTCTATTTTTCCAGGGTGTACACATGACTGCTGTGTACCTGCGTGACATACTTACTGCATGCTCAGTCTACACATGTGTGCTAACCACTCATATAGCAGGGGTTTTAGAATGGCAACCTGTGCATAAGTGCCAAAAAAGCCATTTATGTAGCTAGAACATTGGCCATTTAGATGCACAGCAGGTTATAGAATTTGCTCGAAATATTCCTGCCTCAGTTTCTCATATTTTATACTGAGGGCAATGTTTACATCTACTGGTACAGATTTTGGCCTTGGAATTTTTCTGTGTGTATGTTCCCAGCTATTTTATTTTGGTGTTTATACTTTTGTTGTTTACTGTTGCAAATACTTTTTTTTGTCTTCTAGTAAATTAAGAATCAACATAGATATTACAGTTGCTATGAAGTGTCAATGTAAGTATTCCATCCCTATGACTGTGTTGTGGTTTTGGGGTTTTTTTATTGTTCTTCAAATCTGATAGCAATACAATACATGTTCCAGAACGTGTTTTGCGGGGTTGGCTGTCCAGTTAGAAGGTCTGATTTATTCTAGTCATTTTGTAGCTATGTCACTTGTGCTTCAAGTGGTGTCAGGCACAATTAACCAAAAGAGAGTGGAGGAATCTATCACAGTAATAAATCAGGGCAGATCATCAACTTGTTTTGCTTACATCAAAACTGAGACTGAAACTAGTTTCTTCTTCAGCTGGACATTTCCATCAATGAGGGCCTTCATCATTTTAAGCATGTACTTGCTGCTCTTTGACAAGCTATAGATAATTAAACTTAAAATTGTTTGGTTTCCTTGAACTGACAGGGAATTCAGGTTTTTCCTAGCCAGATTGCTGCTATAAGCTTTGCTTGGATTTCATATTAAGTGCGTCTCTCTCATTTTAAAATAAAAGCTTGAAAATGTGTGACTTGAGGTCTTTGTTTAAACATATATTGCTGAGGGATATATTTGTTATGGTTTTACAAATTCCTCTCCCTTTCCTTATTCTTATGAGTTGTTTTATTTTTTTAATCCAATATAAGACAGGGAGCTAGGAACCCCTAAACTCTAAACATTGTGCTTATACAGATTCTTTGGTATTGAGCAAGTCCTTTACCTCTGCTGAAGCAGAGCTGTAAACTGGGACAGTACTTGTCTACCTCGTTGGGTGGTGATGACAGTTATTTTTTGTTATGGAATCAAGAGATGCAAAGTTGTATATAAAGTTAACATTTCTTATTTATCAGTTTTATGGCTAGCATAAAATCCATAAAGCTTTCTATGATTTTTTTTTTCTTTTTTAAGAACAATAAGTAGCTTCGTCCTCCATGTAAACTGACATCATTTTGAACATATCAATATTTGTCAAAAGGGAAAAGATTTAAGTTTTGTAATGATTTTCTTCTCTGTGACATTTTGAAGTTGTACAAATTGAAAAGTAAGTGCGTGTGTGTGGTGTGTGTGTGTTCCTCCCTGTATAGCCCTGTAATCATCAATTTATGGGTACTTTCCTTCCTACTTTGTAATGAACTTGCATTCTTTACAACTGGAATTTTTTTTTTTTAAGTGTGCTGCTGTTTTACTGATGGGTTTGAAACACTGCTGTCAAATATGATCTGAATGAAGACGGAGAGAGCTGTTATATGTCTTTTGCTCTAATGCTTTGTTTTTCACTTGAAACAGATGTGGGGGCTGATGTTTTGGACTTGGCAGAAACAATGGTTGCTTCTGCAGATGGGCTAGCATATGAACCAGTAAGTTGACTTTATTCCCTTTTTGTTTAAAATGCTGCTATGTGCCAGCTGTGACAAGCCTGGCTTTTCTCCCGCCCCCTCCCCCCAAATTGCTAAATTAATCTTACTGATCTTGCAGTTGGGCCCATGAAGAGTCACAGTGCAGTCAGTCATATTTGTACTCCACAATGTCACAAGTGTTCACCTCCATTTTTTTGGCTGCAGAATAAGCCTAATTCCAGAGTTTTGCATGCTCACTCATTGATTTCAATGTACTATAGCTAAGCAAATAACATCAGACTTCTTGCCCAGGTATATGTTTATGGAATAGCTTTGCGTATCATATAACTGTTAAATTGCATCACCATTAGGTAAAACTTATAATTCATCAGTAAAAATATAAGGGGCAACAATTAGGTGTTAAATTTTTCTGTGACTTGGAAAAAGCAAAGATCTCCCAGAAGCAGTCCTGCTTGGTTTTTTGTTTTGTTTTTTCTGGCTTTTGCTTATTAGTCTTTTTCTTGAACCTTTTTTGCCTTTTGGTTACGTGCTTGTAATGTTGGCTCTCAGGTTGTCTGTGAGTGGTGATTTTAATTTTTTTTTCTCTCTGAAATTCCCCAAGAGATGCCTGTACCATTTTGTGTATGCGAGTGCATGTTTGGTCTCTTGCATATTGTGGAGACCCATCTTCAGGTACTGTTTGAAGAGCAATTGCAAGTTCCTTAATGAGCTTTTTTATTATTGTGGCTCCTTTCTTTTCATCTAGATACACCATGTTGTGTCTAGTTATGAGATCTGCCAGAAACCATTTCCCTTACTTGCAGAAAGCACAGTAATTGCATTCCATCTCCCAGAAGTAGCTTATATGCCTGGCTTCAAGTCAGCACAGAGGCCCTGAAGGAAAAGGGACTAATTACCTGACATGCTGGGAGTAAATGCCACATAACAATTTTTTGTTTAGTTGGAGATCTGATTAATTAAACTATTTAAGTAGTGTGCTCATTGCTTCTTTGGTCCACAACCTCCCATACATCATGGCTGAGAAAACATACTCGCTCTTGGAGAATGTTCAGTATGCAGTTGCTGAGCGAATGTGCATATCATTATTTCAATTCACCTTTTCAGTTTGCTGCCAGCTTCATGCCAGAAGCTTAATGTAAGGCTGAAATGAAAAGCCAGTTATCATTAGATGTGTAATCAACAGTACAGCAGCAACTGTACTGAAGGGTGACTTTTTTCTCCTATGTGTACAGTGTAAGTACTTATGTTTTATTCCCCACAAAGTAAGGGAGTTGGACCCTTCTTTAGTGTCTTGACTTAAGTTGCTGCTTGATTATAAAAATCTACTTCATAGCTAATCCTGGTGATGTGTATGGATGTAACAAAGCTAAAACCAAGTCATGTGACAAATTTTTGTCTGCTGCCCATAGATGGCTGTTTTTAGCACCAGACAGGATATTATTGTTCAATAATTCTGCTTCACCTGTTATGTTGGGAGGATTTTGATGCTTTCTTTGTGTATGGTTTTACCATATCTTTCTTCTTTGCAGGTAATATTTGAACTCAGTCCCCAGCAAAGAGAGTGGCAAAGGTAATAGATAATTATGTAGTGTTCTTTGTGTGTACACCCCCACCTCCCCCCGGTTGGAGAGGGGTATGTCTGTTTTTCATTTACTGCTGGAAATAGCCCAAGTATACCTACATTCTGTCAACCAAAGCCATATATTAAATTTGAAAAGCAGCTGCCCATTAGGTAGCAGTGCAGATTCAGTAAATTGAAGCTCATTTATTTTTATAGTGGTGAGTATTTCGTATTGTGTTGTGAGTAAATACCGTCTTTCACATTTTTAATGCAAAACTTTTTCAGGTATCAATCCTTGTAATAAACCAATAACTGCATGTTTGTTTGGCTTAATTTTATATAAGGTTATTTTTTTGGTAGATGTGTTCAATTTTATAAAGGCATATTTTGAGGCATATGAAAGCAAATTAATTGGGACATAAAGCCAAAATAATTGACATTCCTGGATTAATTATTATTATATACAAGGATTTTAGATTCTCTTTCCTTCAGTAGGTATTTCCTGAGGAGAGGGTAGGAGAAATGCTCCATTTTATTATAGAACACAACAGTAAGCAAATAGAGATGCCTGTGTGCTCTAGTGGGAAACCCTGCATATTGCACACACTACTTTTTATAGTAGGAATTCAGGCATAGAGTTTGTGCTTGTTTGTTCTTGTTTGAGTTGGAAGCTTCGCTCACATGGTGGCAGTGACATGTACCTGGAGTCCCAAAAGGCTGAGTTTTTACTGCTGGACCCACTGCCAAAGTAAAAGAATGTTTAGACCTGCCAGCCTCAGCTGTGTTCTCATTTGAAAGCTCTGTCACAGAAACTAAAGCCTCTTTAAATTCTTTAGCTATCTGTCTAATGTCACTATCCTTCTAATATACATGTCAAACTCTGAAGCTTGCATTACGTCTTATTTACACAATCTAAAAATAAGCTTAAGCAGCAAGAGTAACATTTAGCATTTTAGTATTTAACATACCATGTTGATCTTGGGTGTCTTAATATATGTAGCTGACAGTTAACTATGACTTTATTTTTGGTTATGCTTTTGCATGTATTCATACTTGCTGTATTTATCTGTGTGATCTTTAGGATGCTGCAGTTAATTCAGAGTAGGCTGCAGGAAGAACACTCTCTTCAAGATGTAATATTCAAAAGTGCTTTTAGAAGTGCTTCAACAGCACTACCACCAAGGTGAGAGGGGGAATGTTTTTTTTTTTTGTAATTTGCCTTCAACTTCTGTCATATGTGCTCTTTAATACATTTCTTAGGCTAAAGTTACAAAGCCAAAGACCTGAATGCCTTTGCTTTGCTTCAGGGTCCCTGAATCCAAAATTTTATTTAATATTTTGGGGCATAATGGTCTCTTCCTGTGATGTGAGAAAATTGTGTAACTAGTACTTCATTTATTTCAAATGGTTTTATTCATTTTGGTGAACTGCTTTCCAGCTGCTTCCAGATAGTCTGGTGAGCCAAACTAATGTGTTGAACATATCAATGGCATCAGGATAGTTTCAGAGGAGCTAGGGTCAGGAGGGACCTGAGCAGATCATCTAGCTTGACCCCTGCCACAGGCAGGAATGAATGCTGGGTTCACAAGACCCCAGACAGGTGATTGTCCAACCTCCTCTTGAATTTGCCCAAGGTAGGAGCGAGGACCACTTCCCTGGGAGGTTGGTTCCAGATTTTGGCCACCCTAACTGTAAAATATTGCCTTCTGATCTCTAACCTAAACCTATTCTCCATCAGCTTATGACCATTGTTCCTTGTCACCCCAGGTGGTGCTGGGGAGAAAAGGGCTCTACCTATTTGCTGTTGATCTCCCCTGATGAGCTTGTAGGCAGTCACCAGGTCCCCTCTCAGCCTCCTCTTGCTGAAGCTGAACAGGTTCAGGTCCCTCAGTCTCTCCTCATAGGACCTGTCCTGCTGCCCTCTCACCAAGCGGATGGCCCTCCTCTGAACCCTCTCCAGGCTGGCCACATCCCTTTTGAAGTGC